GTGGATCGCGCCTTGGTCCCAACCCACGAGGAGTGTTTGAGAGTGTTAATATCACCGCTTGCCTGGTACCTTTTAGGACTTAATCTTTCAGGGTACAATCCATTCTGAGCTGAATGTATTGCTATAGAAACACACCAACAGTGATATTAAAGCTATCAAACTTACAAGCAAATGCTTGACAGCACCATGTAAACTCTCCCAAAGCTGAAAAAATAAACTTTAGTCCTAAACATTTGGCAAAAATGGGCTGGCAGTTGGAAGTCCTGGATGCAGCTGCTGAACTTTACCCAGCCATAAGACACGTCTGACAGCAGAACTGCACAAACAGCTTCTTTTCACAGAGCTTGTTTGATTTCACCATCTCACAGAAAGTCTTGTCAGCTGAGAGGCCGAGGCAAGGAACAAGAGAAAATGAGAGCAGATTAACATTTTAAGTAAACAAACATTGCACGTAACAGGCAGCGCAAATCCAAAGAGAGAGAACTGAATAGAAGGCGCTTTTTAAAAGGGCTCCTTCACATGGCTTTAATGAAGGGACAAAGAAACTTTACAGTGAGTGGGAGAATTAGCCCCAAGGCTGAAATGTAATGAAATGCAAACACTTGCATGCATCTGATATTCAAAATCTCTGCCTGGAGGCCATGGATGGAGTCCACCCCGTAGCTTTAGGCTGCAGAGGGAATCCCCAGAAACCCTCATTTTTGCAAGCAGGGAACGAGCGCAGCGCGTGGGGTTATCCCCTAGCTCCTTACCGTTGGTGCAGGTCTCGTTTGTCACGCAGGAGCCGCTGAGGAGGCTGAAACCTTCCTTGCACTTGACGCAGTTCCCGGCAGACCCTTCGCATGCCAGGCAGTGGTCATCGCACCTGGGGAAATAAACCCCGTGTTGTTCTGAAGCAGCCTGAGCCCCTGGGCTCAGCCACCCCGAATAACCCAGGAAGGGGGGCTGCAGGCACGGTGAAACCTAGAGCAAACCAGCGCTGTGGAAAACAGGGAAGCTTGAGCTGCAGAAGTTACTGCTGTCCTGGGAGAAACAGGTTTGGTGGGTCCCAGCTCAGCCCCTAGTGACAGTAGCCACAGCCCCAAACTGCTCTCCTGCTGCCATGGCTGGAACCTGGCGGGACAAGCCCGTTTTCCCCGTCATCCCCTTTGGAAACAAAGGGCTGCAATGGGGACACGGACCCTCCACTTGGAGAGAAAACCCCACCCACTGGTTTCGCCTTGCTGGAAAGCCAGCAGGGGCCAGATGTGCTGGGAAAACCTTCCAGCAGGCAGGAACTGGCCTGGAGTCGTTACTGCCCTGCGAGACACACGCTCAGAGTCCCCTTTCATCCTTCGCTTTCATGAGGCCGACTCGACTCCCACTCTCTGCTTTCAGTTACGATACCCGGCAGCAGGAGAAAATCATCCCCCTCCGTGTTGGCCGCGCGGCCCCCGCGCAGGGATGGGCTGAGTGCTGCTTACCCAGCGCCCGGGGGCAAACGGAGCAGGTAGCGCCCGCCTGAGGTGCCTCCAGGTGCTAGATTGTAGGCTGGGATATTTGTGTAAACACCGGTGTTCCTCCCACACCTCCTCCAAAATCCCCGGGAACGGGGAGATTATTCCCAAGCAGCTGCCGCGGGGGAGAGCGCAGCTTTGTGCCTCCTAAATCCGCACGGGAGGGGAGCCCATCCCGCTTCGCTCCATTAGTGCCTGTCCCTGCGGAAAGCTCCGGGGT